GCCCAGGTAATGTATATTCTTGCATTAAAAACGTTTTTGATTATCAAGGTGTCTAGACCAAGCTCGGCATTTATTAGTTGTACTATGGTCCTCATATGTATATACATAACTATATACATACACTATACATATTTTATACCCTGAACCCATTAAAAATGGGTAAAAAGGGTATACTGTATTTGTGCAAAATGTAAATGTATGTAACAGGCAGAAGAAAGCATTTCCGGCCCTATAAAGTACATGTATTCTTGATCAGCATCAATAGCCGACTCGATCTAGCCATGTCCGTCTGTCTGTTCGTCCGTCCGTCTGTCTGTTCGTATGTATAAATGCAAGGATATCAGAACCTATAAGAATTAGAGTCTTGAAATTTTAAGTGTAGGTGCTCCTAGTGCCTGCGCAGATCGAGCTTGTTTCCGATAATCGATAACTTACTCCGTTTCAAAGCATTTGATAGCAATCGATATCGACATCCTGTTTTTTGAATAAATTGGTTACACTTTCAGTACATTTTAACAATAATAGCATGATCACTATTTTCGGCTTGAGCGAAAACCTTCAATTTGAAATCATTTACCTAACCTCCCTAAATGTTCGTTTACATTCGGTACACGTCGCCGGAATATAAAAAAAATTGACTCTTCAAGTTTTTTAAACCCTCGATATTTATAAAAACCATAAAACACGATTCAAGTATATTTCCATATTTTTGACGATTCCCTTTACTCCATCCAACACCAACCCGAACAATATCATTTATAATCGAAACATACCAAATTGAAAATTAATCCTTTTAAAATTACTTGACTTATTCGTCGTTTTTATCGATTTATTATGCAAGTATGCAGGAATATAGCAAGTCCAAATAAGCGTGTAACGCATAGAAGGAGACATCTCCATGTCCGTCGGTCCGTCTGTTTTTTTAAAGCTATCTTTCGAAAACTTTGCAGAAGTCCCTCTTTCTGTTGCACGCAGTACATATGTCGGAACCACCTGGATCGGACCACTATATCATATGGCTGTCATCGGAACGATCGGTCGAAAATTAAGTTGTTGTATGAAACACATATTGGTTTGTATGGACAATATTTTTTTGTTTTTCACGATGTTTTGTCCAAACTCGGCATTTTTATACCCTCAACCCATTAAAAATGGGTAACAGGTAATGGTTCTAGTCGAAAGTTCCCAACTAGGGGATACCCTGAACCCTCTTATTCCAACAACAAAATGTTCCCTTGGAAGGGTTCGAACTCGCACCTAACCGCACCACTTGCCGTCGTCTTCACTCAACAGCCACAGCAGCCACCGCCTCTACTCAATAGCCACACCAATTATTAAGTATCAGTGAGAAAAAACGAATTTAAATAGCAGCACAGAAAACAATACAATCGCAATTTTAATGTTGTTGAAACAGTTCGAAACAGACGCGCATGAATGTGTGTGTGTACATGTATACAGAAATTCTTGGAATTTGCGTCGCAAACACGTGCACAGTCAAAATACCGATTAACAAAACAAAAACTGATCTTAACGAAATTTTCTACAGTACATCTTATTGTACCATAGAATATTTGTATATTCTCAAAAGTAAATTGCATTTAAATTATGGCTTAAATTGGTTGGCAATACAAGTTGGGTTATTAACTTGATTTATAGCTCTGCCGTGTTAGCGGGGAGGTGGCGATAGGTATAAAATGAAAGATACTTGATATATATATAATATTCTAGAAGAAACATATCATGATTAGTGACTCTATTTATTCTTATTTACCCAATTTGCTAAAAAAACGCATGATGTCAATATCGATTGTTATCGATTGCTTGGAAACGGAGTAAGTTATCGATTATCGGAAACAGTGGAAACAGAGGACCTACAGCTAAAATTTCAAGTCCCTAGCTCTTATAGGTTCTGATATCCTTGCGTTCATACATACGGACAGACAGACTAGGTAGACCCGGGTTTTGATGCTGATCCTTTATGAAGTCGAAAATGCTTCCTTCTGCCTGTCATTTGCACAAATACATAATACACTTTTTAGCCGTTTTTAATGGGTTCGGGGTATAATTAGACCATCTAAATTTCTCTTGTTTCTTTACTTACTTGCACATTGTACGCATTCTGTCAATGTAAGAAAGGTATTCAAAATACATTTAATAAGTGAGTTGTGAGTAACCAGCTTCCCAACCAGACACAAAATAATAATTCTAATCCCTATTAACTTAATATTTCAATAATTCTCTTGTATAATTACAATAAATAACGGAGAATAAAATGACAGCGTACCTTAATTTTCACAGCGTACAGTCCGTTACTATTTTTCTTTTAATATTGCAGTTGTAGACCCAGGACATAAGAAGGTACGAGATTAGTCACCAGATATTCATAAATTTCACAGAAATTCTGAACAATTGTTTAGAAAATCATTACATTATCGTACTGGCTTACTTCTCTAAAAAAAAATTGTTATGTATGGAATAATTGTTATGAATCAAAAATATTTTAAACTAGCATTTCCGACTCGGTTTTTTCTGCGAGCGTTTAGGCAAGGCTCTTTAGCACAACCCTATTAATTTTTCATTAACAAAGTTATAAAACAGCAGTCGTGTTGTCGCAGTGGATGATCTGTAACAGTCTTCTATGGCCGGCAAGTTTCGATTGTATACGATAAGCGATATACGACATATACGTAGGCTTTGCACGCATTCGAACGTTCGTGGTAGTTGAGCCACATCTTTATTTATGGATATTAAATTGAAGCAGAGTCTTTTTGAATGGCCGGTCCAACCATAAGAAGGTCATTCAACGCAATTTGAGGCGAAGTCCGACAGGACGCTTTGTGGCCTTAAGACCCACTAATGCAGACTAAAATAGTGTGGAGCATTTTTGTTTTAGAATCTGATTATCTATTTCAGACATGTCACCTAAGATATTCCTCAATGAATTCCAAGTACATACGACTAAGCTCTGGATTTTGGATTTTCTGGTTCAGGCAGCATAAACCGCCGATTAACAACCTCGAAGTATCCACCAGTTGATTGAGATCTGATTTAAATGCTTACAAAGTAAGCTGATACTAGCCTCTTCTCTACAAAGCTGCAATAGTTGTGCTAGCTAGTCTGTTAAATCATTAATTTGTGAACAAGAATCGAGTTAAGCTGTAGACAAAAAAAATCACTACTTCACGTTTTAACACTAACGAATGGCTTTCGGGAATGTAATATTAACATTTTGGGGTCAACTAGCCGTTTCTTAAATTAGCTACAAACACATAAACGAACCTCGATTATTATTTTTGGAAACAGCTCTGATTTTTCGCGCGAAACTTTCTTCAGCAGAAAGGTTGAGATACCTTCGAATCACAGCTATTTCGCAATCATTCCATAATGGAATGAATTCGTAATCGAATTATCCCATTTTTCCATTTTCGTTTCCTTTGTTCATAAAAAGGTGAATAAAAATTGCGTTCGAAACTGTTGGTCATCACCTATTGACAGGAGCAAGCATTATATGGTGGAGATAGTGGCAATCATTGCTATCAAAGATTCAGCGGAAGGTTGTTCCTTTTTCGGCAAGCTTAAGAATATTCTGAAATGAATATTCTCATTGAATATAAGATCATCATTGTCGTATACTGCCCTTGGGCTTTTACCGAAAACATGAGAACAGATGGTTGACTCTAGGAGTTTATTACCGTAATATTAACACATTGAGTACTACACTAAAGATAAAAGTAGGAAATCCCGATGTTTGGGAGTAAATCGAATTCAATCAAGGTCAGCTAGTAGAATCAATAAATGATCAAATAGATTAAAATGTTTCAGTGCAAGGTAAGTTGAACGAGATCAGAAACTTATTATATGCCAGTCAGAAAGCAGCCCGTGTAGACTCAAAAATCTTTTATGAAAATCCGAATAGTAATAAAAGGCTTAGAGAATTTAATATGTACCATAACTTAACCGAAAATAAACCAGATTTTTTACTTATTGAGAGTGGGCAGCGGAGTGCGGTATATGCGCAAACATTATTAGCTCTTAGGCTATAATTGTGATTATGCTATTCTGCTGTAGGCTTCTGCGCACACCCGTCGGCAGAGTGGTAAGTCTTGTCTATCTTTTTTACTGAACCACGGGCTTAGAAGGCACGGGCTTTTAACATCATTATATTTGGCAGCAAAGGCGGCTCTCATACGTCTCTCCGTCTGACTCCGTTGCGGTCTGGATCAGACTAAGATTCCTAGATAAGCTTTAACATCTTAACCAGTGCCACAGCTGCTTCGCTCTTCCTTATTTGCTGCGAGATTAGTTTCGGTAGAGCAATCCACGAGTGATGTGTGGCCCCTGTTAGAACCAAACCAATGCGAGTTTTATGCACCATCGACAGTTCAGCAGAAAGTTTAATCTGGCCAACGCATAGCAGATTGAAAAACAAACTAGCTCCAATCAACATGTCGATTGGCTATGATTTGAAGAATTCCTTTTTAACTAGTTATATAATTTATAGAATGATCCATGATCAAAGGTAATGCTCGGGTGGTTCTTGGTAATGGTGGGTGCAAGCATGCATGTGGAGTTCTCCGACACTCGAGACTGGACATTTATGTAGACCGAAAAAACATTGGATTCAAATTCTGCATCACCACTACTGTTGTTGATTTAAATTTGCTGCGAGTTCAGCATCGCATGGTCGAGCACCAAGCAATCAGTGCGGTTTTTAAATTGATGACTGCAGTGGCAAGTAGGACAACATCGTGCTTAAGATGCTGGCCGGTGGGGGTTGGCGATGAAAAAATTGCCGCTAAGATGTTTTGGGACGATGAAGAAGTTTGCTGTGTGTGCTCGGGTCTGCAAGTGTTGAAGCCGCAGACTTTCAGCTATTGTAAGCAAATTAGACACAGAGCTTATTTGTAAACAGAATAGCCTGCGACATCACAAAAAAAACATGCCCACGATCTACTGATAATGACTAAAAATTTTCTTCTAGTACTGTTTTTTAGGCCCACCTGGGAGCTAGGCGAGTAGATTGCCGTAGCGTGTTAAGTTTTTTCAAGCTTATAAAATCCAATAACGTCGAACGGCGATCTGCCCATCGGTTTAAGCGCACGTAGATACATAGAGGAAGCTTTCCTTATCCGAAAATACACATCGTTCTATCGTAGCACCTTTAACCACATTTCTTAAGCCCAGAATCTGAGCGATGTGTGCCTGGAAAATAAGAAATCGTTATTGAAACGCTTATCGATTAGTTCAAAGGCGGTGGCATAACAAGCGTTTGACACTTCCATTGAAGAGACAACCGTAACCACCTATTATTTGACTCAAACCTTGGCTGAAAATCCTCGTCAATGTTGGCATGATTCACATCCAGCAGTTATAATTGGCATTATTCACATTAGCATCGCGAAGTCGTTTGGGATCCAATTCAGAGCATAATCTATTGAGTCGAGCACTGAAATTCTTTCGTTTTATTTTAAATCCTTTGGCGGTTTCCAACCGCCACTTGATTTACTAATGTCGTCTAGCCATACTTGCACTTGTACTTTCATCAAACAGTATAAGTGTAGCGCACAAAAAGGTTTACCCAGCCGAACTACAATACAAATCTGCGCGCACAAGCGATCGTTTGAGTGAGATAGCGTATAGCTGGTTTTGCTGCACGATTTTGTATAATTCACAACTGTATGCAGTTTCGCAAACAGGCGAAAATCCCTGCACAGTCACTTGCTTGCACTAATTATTTAAGTTGAGGCTTATAATTATTATTTGGCAGCCAACTCGAATTAGTTGTGCCTAAATAGAGATCAACAAGCAACGATATAAAAAGCGAATGAAATGCAACTAACCGCTCACCGCTTAGAGCGACGGACAGCAGGCTTCAATGCAGAAAGCAAAGGGTGCGCGCGAACTTAGGCTCTAAATGTGATTATGTTACTCTGCTGTTGGCTGCTGCGCGCAACCGTCGATCTAAGAAGCTATAAGAGCTCGTGTCTTGATTTAATCAAAATATATATATTTTTTAAATTATTAAATTATTGCAGCTTTTAAGAGGTACAGCTATTTTGGCATCTAGGCTTTCGTACCTGTGCACACAGATTATAAAAAGGTAATCTAATGTAAAGTTTATGGTACCGCTTTAGTGGAAGAGGATGTTAGTTGGTTCTGTGTGCGAAATGGAATATTGCCCTTTATATCATAATACCATACTTAATTTTTTTATTAAAGTCACTCAATCTGAGATCGGTTAAGAATTCAGAGCTTTGGCCGTTGTATTATTTTTCATTATTTACATTACTCATTTGGTACTTGGGCACTTAAGCGTGGGTAAGAGTCCATAGAAACTTTTTGGGCCGGCCACAAGTTTCAATATGGATGCACATGTGTGCCTCTTGATTGCCTGCCTATCTGATGGAAATTTGCCAAAGTTATAAATTATTGGAGGTTTTTTGAAGCAAAAGAACATTTTATTTTTGCGCTTTTGACGTGAGGCATTTTTTGCTTACTTCAAAATACGTGTAAGTATTTATGTTATAAAGAACTCCACAAACTGTTGGTGTTAGAAGTGAAATTTTATGTAATCAAGTCTAATAACCTTATCATATCATATCAATATTTCCTTTATTTTCACCATATTTGTAAACTGTTATGTAGGTGAAGTATATTGCCTCTTTGTTTTGCCATAAGAAAGAACATACAGTATATTAAGAAATTGTAAATATGTTAGTTTAAATGTATTTATTTTTACATATTTCGCAATGATTATCGAATTATCTGAGAAGTGGTTTAATAAAAATATTTATCGAGACTTATTGCTTCAAACCATTTGACAAAATATAAATTAAAATATATCCATTTTCATTTGTGTCAAGAAAGCGTTTGACAACCACTGTAATTGAATTATATATTATACAAATCAAAGTATATCAGATTAGCGGGGAAGCACCGCAGCAACTGACGTGCCTTGCGTTTACATCATTGAGCATTGCTTTTATGCATTGAATGATAAACAGGTACAGAGCCAAATTGTGTTGTTGTTGTTTGTACGCCTTGTAGGCACGACAGAGAAACCAGAAACAAACACAGTGGCATTATCTGTCCCTTTTCTTTGCACTGAGTGTTTTATGTCCTCGAAATCTTGCACCAACTTTTCAGCGATCAAAACAGACGACGAGAAAAAATTTGGGTTTCATGCGCACTGTTGATGTTTTGCTAGTGATTTGTTGCTGCTTCCTATGTTAAAGGAGCTTTATTTTTTTGAGTTTGATTTTGCGTTTGCTGACCAACCTTAACCACCTTGCGCCAGTTTTAAAACGGTAATAAAAGCTCTATTTGTTTATTACTCTATGGCAACCTCGGTATCTTGCTTCAGAATTTGCAAAAAAGATCTTTTGATCCAAGTGCCCTCTCTGTATATTTATTACTCAATGGCGTTTATGTATGATTTTATACATGTAAATAGAAGAAAGGTAGAATGCCTTTTTTGATAAACTTTTAAGATGTTAAACACGAATATAGCGAAAAGCGTATAGGTTATTTTGCATTTGACACGTATGTATATAATAAAAATACGCACCATAATAAAAACTGACTTCTAGTTAGAACTTAATATTTACAAATCTTTAACTTGCTCGTGACTCCACATATAACTTGATCAGCATCAAGAATCTTTCTGGGGAAACTTTTGATTAATCCATCGAAAATGGGTCAAATAGGGTTTAATAGTATTTCCAAACATATGTAACAGGGGCATATTCTTGATTAGCGTGAAAAGACATTCCATAACCGGCTCCTCGAACTTGAAGGAAGACAGTTATTGTTCTAAGTTGTTAATATTGATTCTACACAAAAAACTTGTCACGCACTTATGCATTTACATATGTATGTCCGTATACATGTATAAATATGTATGTATATAAATATATACGAATATTTTTGTCTTTAATGCATGTATTATTTACTAATGTACATACAATATTGTATATATTAGGAAAAATACATAAGCCCTTTCCTTTATATACATTTATATCAGTATTTGGGTTCAATCCGTCTACTATGTGTAGATCACACATATCTGTACGTAGATAAATATGTGTAATTCCTAAGAATTTTGCGTTAGATTTTATAATGTAAAAAAGTCTTCGAAACTTTGTTTTATTTTAATTTGTACTTATACTTACGTATGTAAAAATTTAAAAAAAAATCCGTACCGTATTTATTTTTGCTAAATTGAGAGGCAACTGAATTCCTATCAGTAATATGTATATGTATTGGAATAGACATCAAAATGAGCTTAGCTCCCGATTAGAAAATCATTGTGTCAAAAGGTCACATAGTCGATTTGTTTTATTTATTAACCCGTATGGGCCTATAATTTGCCTTGCTATACACCCTTTATAATTGTTGCGTTATTTATATAAATTCCAAATTCGATGTGGCGAAAGCCAAATTTAACCCTTACAAGCAGCCTGTTACATACATTAGCACAAATTCATCATACCCTTTTAACCCATTTTCATTGGGTTCTGGGTATAAAAAGCTAGAAGGAGGAATGTCCTAATGATGAGTTATTCTTGACCAGAATTACGAGCTGTATTCATCTAGCCATATGCGTCGATTTCAAAAATTATAAAAGGTAGATGTAAAACTGTGTGTCTTGACTCACTGACTGGTTCTTGTTCAATGCACAAATGCAATTTTTACATCACCTTATGTACCGCCATTTCACCCGCCAATGTGAAAGTGTGTGAGGGGTGTTTCATACTATGCCAAATATCTAATCTTTCTTGGTATAAGTCGGGGTCTAATTTTTAGTGGGTGTAGTTTCTAGTTTAAATTCTCTTCTATAGATTTTTATATGCTATCTTTCGATTGACTTAAAACTTATATTAAAATATATCTGTGAAAATTCATCTCATACGTGGAAAATTTATTTAAGACGTGGTTCATACTTTTTGGTGATTTCCTTCCACCTAAACAGTACGATAATAAATCCCTGAACCCATTAAGAAAGGGTATAAAGAGTAATGTATCTGGGCGACTGTATGTAACATGTATACTGAAGCATCTCCGGTGTCGATCCATCCATGCTAGTCCGTCTTTCCGTCCGTTTGTTCTGATAATTGATAACTTGTTCCGTTTCCAATTAACGATATCGAAATCGTTATCTTTAGCTAATTTCTTAGGTTTTTTATTTATTTATTTATTTATTTATTAATGGTCGACAAAACGAGTGTCTTCCTCATTATTCAATAGATTATACAATAGAATTTTATGCTAAAAGCCTAGTTAAAGGATACAATTTTCTAAATAGCATCACCGACCGATGGAGGTGTTTTATTTGCCAGCCCGGCCAGCTGTGCCCCTTTTCACAGCTAATTTTGTCAGTGACGCTATTAAAGCCTACATCTAAGCAGAAGGTTGTAAGTAGGAAAAAAGTGTTCTCAAGTAACATTAAAATAATCTTAATTTACTATATTAATAAAGAAAATACAATAAATAGGAAAAATGAAAGTAAGAAGATTGTTAATAAAGTAAAGCAATGTAAGTTAGATAAAGAGTGTTAAGTAGATAGGACATAGAGAAAAGTAATGGGAAATCACCGACCCGGTGGGGGAAAATTTTTCAGCCTGTCCGGCAAGCTATGCTATGCTTTTGAAGCCAGAGTCACAAAATTTGACATGTAGCTTCTAGAATAGTATATATAGTATATGAAGCTTCTTCCATTTTATAACTGTCGACAACTCCCCGCTACAATCTCATAGATTTAAATCAAGCAAATAATCCAATTTGTATTATCCACCAATTTAAGCCAAAATTTCGATACAATGCTTTCAATTTCATCAAGATCGGTTAAGAAACACAAAAGTTATTAAAGAAAATGGTTTTTGGTTGCCCAAGTGGCTGGCAGCTAGCGCAAATTGCAAGAATTTCTGTATACATGTACACACACACATTCGCGCCCGTTGCACCTCCAACTGTAGAAATAAGGCGGACGCATATTTTTTGTTTACATCCGATCAGTTTTAAACTTATTTTCAAACATCATTATTAATATTTTTTTGATATGTACGTTCACAATCTTTGTAAAACCCTCATGGATAAAAAAATACGGGTAAAAGGTGAAATGAATGAAAGTTTAATTTTAGACTTCATAAGAATCATCATTTGAGACGTGTTTCACACTTTTCGAAGAATCCAAGCTTCGAAGATTTTTTGGCCATAGTTTTCAGTTTTGTCCGATTTGCATTAAAGCTATTTTCAAAGCTCTAATGCTCTTAGTGAATACGTTTTTCAGCGATTCGGAAAATTCTTAATTACTTACTTAATTACCTAGCATCAAACATGTCCTTTCTTTCTTCTAAATATTCCTTCCACATTTCTTTACGAATTAAATATTTGTTCTTATTCCTACAAATTTCTTCCAGTCTATGTATGACATCACGATCAACCGGCTCTGTAAAACTTCATTTTCCTTTACCGGCGGGCCGGCGTCTTGTGCGTCAGCAACTCTTCGTCGAAGGACTTCATTCGGGAGTTGCATTTTGATTTGATCCTGATCCGCTCCCTAATCTACTTTCCCTAGTTTCAAACTGTTTGGCTAGACGCCTAAATACTGCCTGTCACCGTAGAAGAGTAAGGAGGAGACTCAAACGCCATCACCCTCAAGACCTCCTAAATATCTCCTACTAATATCAAGACGATCTCCCTAGTATTACCCCTTATTTCCCCTTAAACCTTAAAGTTATCTAAAATTCATTGTTATGTTCTATCATAAATTATTTTGTTATTATACCCTGAACCCATTAAAAATGGGTATAAGGGTATATTGTATATAGCTTCTAAAATAGAATATATATATGCATTTGATGTTGGATAAATTTTTTGTTAAATAAATTTCAT